TAGTGTGGTTAGCTTACAGCTTGGATGCTGTAAAGCTTCACATAGACTGGCAACACCGGTATCAGTGATCTCATTACTCCCCAGACCTAGTGTGGTTAGCTTACAGCTTTGATGCTGTAAAGCTTCACATAGACTGGCAACACCGGTTTCAGTGATATTATTACCCGACAGATCTAGTGTGGTTAGCTTACTTAGTACTAATCCTTCCATAACATCAACACATTCATCAGCTAAGTTACAACCTAATAAATTCAATTCAGATACCAGACAGTGTTCATTGATCAATGAATTACAGACTCGTTGTATTCCAGACAGTGTCAGCCGTGATAAAAAAAGCCGCAACGTCTTCACTGCGATGAACTTGTCAGAACATTTGTGTTGTGCCTTTCCCGCTTCCTCTTTGTTAAGTTCACTGATAATGTCCAACACAAATGATACTGCAATGCAGTCTACATTTGATAAATCATCCAAAAAAATTTCGCCGTGTGAATTACAAATCGCTTTGGAATGATTCCTGATGAACTGTTGGGCGAATTCTTCGTCTTTATACTCACTAAGACACTTTGCTCTGAGTAATTCAGTATTACCCTCTAAACCTTGACCACTAGTTAACAACTCTTCCATCAGTTCCCCGTTTCGCTCACGTGACAGAATACCAGCCATAAACTGGAAAACCACTGCAGAGCATTTTTTATCTGGAATGCGATTTTCCTTCACAAACCAACGTGCGGCCAAGTATTCTTGAACAGTGAGATGTATGAAGCTGAAATGTTTCGTGGTTTCAGTCGAACCAGTCCTGAAAGTCTTAACACAGTAAAGAAGACCGCTTCCTATGACTTTGTTGACTTCTTGCAATTCAAAACCGCCTTCTATCTCGCTTTCATCAAAAGATGGCTTACTTTCAAGCAGCAGTTTAGCCGCTAGTTCTGATAATTTCTCTAATGTGTTCTTGATGACAGGAAGAGGCTCGAATTTTTCAGGCATTTCATTCTGTCTGTATTCTGAGTCGGCGCAGTGCTTAAGTACAAAAATATCAATAAGTTTTGTGTAAATGTCGGTCATTGAGATAGGAAGGTCATCAGGATTTTCTGTTTTGTTTAGAATATACTCCATTTCAAAGCACAACAGGTAACAGAGCATAGGAATATGAGCAAAACTGACTAGGTTCTCATTCTTCATGACATGTTCAAGTACTGCGTTCTTCACCTTTTCGTTTTCCTTGAAGTACTTTTCGATGTACTCTTTAACCTGTTCCGACGAAAATCCTGCAATTTCCACTAACTGTTCAAAACGGATTCCTCCCAACTTGTTCATTTCCTCAGGCCGCATGGTTACAACAACGACCGAACCTTTCAGTATCTTTCCCCTGATTAGCTTTGAACAGAATGCGGCCGCCGGCATTTTATATCTTGCATCATTCAGATATTCTTTTTCCAAGTTTCCAGCGAGGTAATCTTTCTGTGAATACTCATCATAGCCGTCAAGGATAATCAAAACTTCTTCAGGATGGTTTACAATGTACTCAAATGAAACGTCATCCATGCAAATGCCGCTTAGGACCGAGGAATGGTCTAAGAATTCTCTTAAAGTCACACAAGTATTTTCAAGCCCATTCAAATCACGGAAAGTAACCAAATACACCAATTTGAAATTGGGGATTTGCGTGCTTTCACATGTTTCAAATAGCTGGTTCTTGGCCCAATCGCGAATAACCTTTTGGCAAAACAGCGATTTCCCAATCCCTGCTTTTCCGACGACAAAAATAGAACTAGGATTCTTCTTATCATCACTTGTGCCAAAAAATATTTCATCGCAGTGCTTAACTGGAGTACCGCTGACTTTTTGGTAATACTCAAGGGCTTCCCTCCTTGTATTTGTCCTGCCATTCCCGATGATTGCTTTTCTTCCACGTTGTATGAGAAGATTAGTGAATACTTCATCTGTTTTCGCCTCAGAAATGGTGTGTGAGGCAAACAGCTTGGGTTGGAACTCCGTTTGGTTTATAATGGAAGTCTTTAACACTGTAGTGCGGACACTTATGGCTGAAGGAAAAAAAGGGAAAATACTTAAGGGTAAATAATAAGAGCGCGAAGAGTACAGTTTAAGTACTTTAATTTTTACTCGCAGGGTTTAGCTTTTAAAGCTGTTGTGTAGGGACTTACGGCTAAACAAAAGGGAAAGGAAAATATCTTAATAATAATGCGAACACGAGGAAATGCAGTTTAAATACTTTCTATCGAATTCAGCAAAGGGAGATTAACTAGCACAGAGCTGAGTGCTTCAAAAGTGTCTATTGTGTCTATCAGATGAGAAATCCATCCCTATCCAAAGGATAGGAAAGTTTGTTTCGTTAAAGCGTTATTCCTCCCTTACAAATNTTGGTTAGCAATCACAAAAAGGGAAATCCATGTTAAACTTAGGTGCTATCAAAGGAAGAGAATTTTACCCAAATGCTAACCAGCATGGCATGCAAGGTCTAACGCAAGGCATAAAGACAAACTTTTCTCATTAAAAAAAATTGGGGAGCAGGGATGGCGCAGTGGTGAGAACACTCGCCTCCCACCACTGTGGCCCGGGTTCGATTCCCGGACCTGGCGTCTCATGTGGGTTGAGTTTGTTGTTGGTTCTTGTCCTTGCTCTGAGGGTTTTTCCCCGGGTCCTCCGGTTTTCCTCCCTCAGCAAAAACCAACATTCCAAATTCCAATTCGATCTGGAACAGTGGACAAGAATAGCCACCCAGTGGATGTCCATTGTTAAATCACTATTCATTTATTTATTTTATTAATAAAAATTAATCTGCCACAGTCTTCTGACAGGCCTGGAACGCATAACCCTGCTTGTTCGAAGCTAGTTACATATTATTATGCAAAGTTTCATGTACAACATCTCTGGATTTAATGATCTTGATGCTTAGATTTTGGGCTTTTCAAAAACGATATCAATGTCAGTAAGTTGTAAGGAATTTTTCGACACTCCAGTCTCCCCTTCTGTAACATTGTTTGCAGCTAGTGCTCTCACACTAAGTTGCTCATTGCCTTGGCCACAATCTTTTCCCACAGCCCATCCACGCCAGACAATGAGTGACGTAAGCAATTAATAATGATTGTTACTAATTAAAAGTAGAAACAACTTTAATTAAAAGAATGTCAACTGTTACAAATGTTGAAAACAATGCAACAACATATCCATAATAATACCATAAAAATATTTCCATATAAATGATTAAAAAAAACCTGAGGGATTTGTTTGTAGCTAAAATAACATCCTTACTATTTAACAGGAGAATATAAAAAGTATGTTATCATATTTTGCTTAATCATCATGGGTTACAGCCATTCCTGTCAAATTTTATGAATTTCTCTTCACGCCAAAGTAAACTTTGAAGCAAAATCCTGTAAGGCCCATTTACAGAAGACAAAAGCCTTCAAAGAATGACGAGCAACAAGGAACCTCGATTCCCACAACAAAGATTGTGAAAAGATTTGATTCTACAAAAAACACACCAGCCAAGGACACATTAAGTGGTAGGGAGAGAAACTCTGTCTAAGAAGGGACAGAAAGTCAAAATTTGTTGGTTTGATCCATACTCTTGCATCTTCAATATATATCGGTGGTTGCAATCAGATGTCACATGATGACTGTTGGTCTGAGGGTATTTTCCAGAAGCAAAACAATACCAAACTATAATAACGTACTTATCTGTGCATAAGTCGACCTTTAATGACCAAAAAATCAGCCTAAAAATCAACTCTTGACTTATACACGGGTCATACACAAAGACCTGACCAAGCAATCCAAGAAATTAGCATAACAATTTCCTGAAGTACATTTGGGAAAACCGAGGATAAGAGTTCCATATAAACCCATACATTAATTGAGTGTTGCAAACAGACCTCTATATTTAGCCAGCTTTCTGAAATGAATGCATAATTAATGTATGGGGTTATACATGTATGGAACTCTTTCCAAACCAAGTTTACAAAACCAGTTCTTAGTGTGTTTGAGTTTCATCAGTTTTGTCACATTCTTCATCCACAAAAAAGTTTGAAATAATAAATTTTATGTGGCTTAAACAGAAACCTACTGCAGCCAATTTATATTGTATCTTCTGATCTGTAGAGGACACATTAATTTTTCTCCTTATAGCTTTGCTGCTGTTTATGGTGCTGAACTCTCATTTTCATTGAACGCTTACTGTAGCTTAGTGACCTGGCTTAAATGTTGTTTTCTCACACAGTCTTTTTAATATGGCGGTGTATCGTCAAACAATCCTTCGAAGCTCTTGGGTGTTCCTTCAGTCTACTAGGTCTCCTTTCAAATTCAACATCAAGATAAGGGTTATTTAAATGCATGAAGACTTCATCTTCAAAGCGGTTTACAAAACATGCGTAAATTGAAGTGCTAGCATATGCTTATATCGTCAATCGTTGTACACGCTTACATTTTGCTCCGCATTATCTTTTAATTCACCATGTTTTCAATACAATCTCAGAAAAAAAAGATGAACCATTGGGGAAATTTCTATCAGTCTGAATTTTTCTTTAACTAGAAATGATGAAAAATCCAATTTTTGACCTTGAAAATGGGGGCTTAACTTATAAATAGGTTTGACTTGTACAGGGATAAAAAATAATGGTGTTTACATGTATTTCCTTGTATAAAGTTTCAATCAAAAATGAGTTTTGCAATGGCTCACATATACCTCGCATGCCTCACTGGCTTGCACTTTGTAATGATGCACGGGATGACAAGATCTAACTTGGGCTGTCACGAATCCCAGGCCTTCGATATATTATGTTGGTTTAACCATGACAATATGGGCACCTTATTCCAAGATAAAGTTCCTCAAGCTTAAATTATGTCTGTGAGTATGAAATAAGTACATATCAAACCAACTATGCTTCATTATGTTGTTAGAAACAACTTGAAACATTTATTCACTGCAGAAACGAGCTCTACGTTTTATCTATTTTTCTGACTGCAATCAGCATGCAATTCCTCTATTTTCCGATGCCGTTATTTTACCGCTACAATTTTCTTATTATGAACTTACAGCTAACCTGATGTTTGATATTAGACACAAAAATGCGCCTAGAAGTATTCGAGACCTGTTTCAAGACATTTCTAATATTCACCCCAATAACACCCGATCCTCTGCTTCGCACAACTTCTACACACAAAGCTCTAGGCTCTCTATTCAATTGAACT